ATATTATATGATTATATAGCATACTAGCATAGGAATCTAACCTAGGCTAGTGTAATCTAATTACTATATATTATAATTAAAACCAATTTTTAGAACCTGAACCCAGATGGGTTCCAGTTTCTAGAACCTAACTGGCCAATGGGCCCTAGGCCCTAGGCCCGAACCCAGCATATAGGCCCAATAGCGGGTTAGGGCCGGGTTGGGTTTAACCACTAAGTGATAGTGAAATCTCATATGGATCTACACTTTCCAACACCACTCGATTAGGATAGCCGCTCAGTTGTGGATTACGTTATGTCGGCATACTTAATCATGCATCTGGAAGCCAATCGTCGGTCCGATGAGGGTCTAGTTTCCTCTGGTTTTAATGCTAATTAAAAGTTTTAATACTAGAAGGCGTCATCTATGCTTACATGAGGGGGTCAGAAAGTGTTGGAAATCGCGGAACCGTATTGGATTACTGAATCACTAATCTATCATCTGACTAGCTAGATCTTATACCGCCAGATGTGGGCATCTAGATAGGGGTAATTAACTAATTATTAGCTATTAAAGGAACGTAATCTATCTAATCGAAATCAGGAAGGTCCACGCTGTAGGCCCAATCGGGCAAGCAGTAATATATATCAAAAGAAAGGTATTATAGAGCTACTTCGATCTATCTAGAGAGAACACGAGAGAGAGAGAGAAGACAGCGAGGCCTAAATAGGCCAGAGAAGCAGGAAGAGAGCAAACAGCGGCCGCTGGTCCTGAAAAGACCAGCGAAAACATCCAACAAACAGGAGCGAGCCTCCGCCCATACTACATAATAAATATTGGTATCTCATGTGGAAATTAGCATTGAGAAAGGGAAGAACAAAAAGTCAAAATTTGTGTTCCCGGAGTTCTGTCTCCGTGAAATCCCACAGTTTTCTCTGCCATTTGGATCGTTCACCATTGGGCTCCCGTCGAATTCAACTCCGACAGGATAGTAGAAGGCAGCTTGTTTGACATCTTCATTTGGACCGGTGGCGGCCCAGAGCTGATTGAGCGCTCCAACCTTGACAGGAGTCACAAAGAATCGGTTCTAAATAAATATAAAAGGAATCAGAAACTTGTAAGGCTGTTTAAGACTAGAGGAGATGTTGGTGCCGACATTGCTGCCTGGGTGGACGGCAACGGACTTGATTCTGGGGTATAGTTTCGCAAGTTGCCTTGTGAAGTGGACATTAGCGAGCTTAGATTGACCGTAACGGACCCATATGCTTGTAGAGGCCATTGGAGACTTGACTTCGGAAAGAAGAAAGCCTTCTTTTGGGCCTTGACTATGGGCGGAGGACCTTAGGTTGATGATTCGGACGTCGCTGTTGGGTTCATTGGTGGTCTGCTCCAGGAGTGGCAGTAACAATTTGATCAAAAAGGGCGTGACCCATGTGATTGGTGCCAAATTGAATTTCATAACCATCCTAGGTGGTTGCCGCGGGAGTTGCCATGGTACCGGCATTATTGATGAGGGATATCGAGCCGACTGGAAGAGGCTAATACGCTCTGAGCCGCTTTCTTGACCGAGGCAAACCATGCCAGGTCCATCTCGAGGAAGGATATTCTGGCATCAGAAACGCTTTGCTTGATCTCCCTTATCGCCGTTGCTGCTTTTTCTTCGCTTCAGGCACCCATAAATATTTTGGCGGAATTGTGCTTTGCAAGTTGGAGAATAGTCTCCTTTCCAAGGTTATTATTACCACCGGTTACGACGATGGCTTTGCCAGAGAGGGGTCTGGGATATCAGTATCAGGATCAAAGCTCACGCCCTTTGAAGAACCCATGATATCGATACGCCAAGAAAGTTGTGGATGGATGAAGACAGAACGTGGAGTCGACGAATTGCAGGTCAGATAATTGGAACTTAGAAAAGAGCTGGTGTGAATGATTATTGGGGAAATACATATTTAAGAATGACTGGCTATCGACAAAATATGAAATGATAATTGTTAAGGTACTTCTCGGGCCCACTGTATGGGTGAGCAGCAGAGAGTACATCACGGAGTACAGGGGTGTCAGCAAGGCAGGAAGGTTTGGCTGGGCTGGACGTCTTCCGCTCCCGATGATGAATGTCTGGTTCGGAACTTCGGATATTTCGGAGTGCTAGCGCCCCGCGCTCTACAACCTAACTGCCTTATATGCACTGTGGAGAGTGTCTATCCCAAGAGTTGTCATCAATACTCCAAAATGAGAGTCATCATCACTGGCGCCACCGGCTTGGTTGGTAGTGCAGTAGTGCGCCAATGCATTGTCAATCAAGCGATTACAGAGGCCCTGATTCTGACGCGAAAACCATTACCAAGGGACATCTCTAACAACGCCAAAATCGCCGTAATTATTCACGAAGATTTCGGAAGCTATCCGCCAGAGCTTTTAACACGGCTCAGCGGTGCAGAGGGCTGTATATGGTGTGTTTACAATGATAGGCAATGGCTGTCGAACGCTAATAACGGTAAACAGGACAGTCGGAGGGCCCGCTTATCGTTTCCCTGACGTGGAAACCTGCAAAAAAGTGCACGACTTCGCACTTATTGCTGCGAACGCTTTTGCGAACACCTTAGCCCCAGCGCTGAAAGGAAAGAAGTTCAAGTTTGTCTTCTGTAGCGGGATGGGGGCGGAATGGGATCAGACGAAGCCTTTGTGGTTCCTGAAGGATACCAGACGAATTAAGGTTAGCGAGATTCATTTACCATCCTCGATAGGATTTATAGCTAATAGCTCAGCAGGGTTACGTCGAGAAGCAGTTGGCTGCCGTTTCGGATAGTAAAAAGGATGTATTTGCGGTCTCTTGCGTTCGACCAAGCGCGATCTTATCTTCTAGAGCAAATATATTAGAGAAGATATACAGAGCAATGGTTGCCGGTATTGAAGACGACCATCTCGCCAGGGTTATGATCAAGATCCTCCTCGAAGAAAGTTCTGGTCGAATTATCGAAAACGACGAGCTACGGAGGGGCTGAATACGGGCCCGATTCCAGGTTCATCCATGCCAATGGTATCGTGATAACCCCCGCGGGGTTTTCTAGGTTGTTTTACCTTTAAATAGTTCGCTGGGATGAGGGTTTTTTGTAGAGGCTCATCTTCTCAATCTGCAGGTTGTGTCTTGGGTTGTTATCTGTCTCGAGCTGAGGAACTTCTGACCGTGGGACCTGGAACTGGAAATATCTCTGGGTGGCCTGTCGGCAAGGCCCGAGAAAGGGGGCGAGTTTACCTAACTGGATATCCTGCGACGCTTTAACGGGGGCTGGAATCTGACCATGTGGTGCTAGAACCATCAGCGAGGTTCCTAGTCTCCTTCGAGATTCTTACCTCTTGCGACGCGATCGGTCTGGTTACCACTGTGGCAGTCACAGACCATACGCAAATGACTCCGTCACAAATATGTCCACGCTTAAAGGTCCATCGCTAAGGGTCGCAAGCTCGATTCCCGGCTAGGGCTTACAAGAAATATTAAGAACGGCCATATTGACGAAAGAAGGGTATAAAATTGCCTCACAGCGCCCCGTTCCCTGCATACGCTTGGGGGCCTACAACAGTCAGCATCCATTAGGACTTGGAACATGCTACATGCCCCACTTATCTTCCTGCAAGTGGGCGGAAGTATTGTGTTCCAAATACTAATAAACGGTCACTGTAGCTGATCATGCACCTCAAAAGAGTGGGGTACCCCACCATCAATATTTATGGGCGAGTCGGCAACCTTATTATTCACGAAGGACCCTCTTTCTAGGCGGGGCGGCGATTGAAACACCAGTGGCATAATATTATGCCGACAATATCAGACAAGACAGTTCACCCTTCATCCGGGAGCGAGTGCAGACCGACATCGCTGGCGGCAGCGAGGCTACCAAGTGCAATGATTTTGTAGCTCTTGCTGAACGGAAATGTCCCATGACGGGCTTCTTCCGCGCCGCCGTATCTGATTTCCGTACCGAGTGGATGAAGGAGATGCTATAGATGGCGAAGGAGGCCAAGACTGTTTGTAATGAGAGGAATATCCCTGAGTCCATGTTCTTAATGTACATCTATCACCTCTGGTATTAGGCTAATAACAATTACACTGTATCAGAGTCTATAACTACCTGCATTAATTCCCTGGAGGACCAAGGCATCTGGCTGCGGGTTAGTGCGAATTCTGAAGTAGTAGTAATATTTCCTACTTATATGTATATCTTCATCCCAGATGATACATCATATATACCTAACATCGACTCTTAAAATTCTATAACCCTCTCAAACAAGACCCACATCACTGCTAGCTTGTACTTCGCGATGGCTTAGAGCCATAACTAAAAGAGACATCAATTATAATAATTCCGACACCGGTAGGAAGTTCTTTGTCCTGGCTAAGTTCATGTCAACCAGCTGCTACCGAGCGTTTTCCAACTCATGCTCCAGCCTTCCAGGATTCCCCATAAAATCAGTGTATCCTAAACCTCCACTCCGTGCCGCAGCAACGGCTAACTCGCCTGCTGCCACGCTGCTCATTGGCGCATTGCATAAGAGGGGAAGCTGCAGCCATGGCAGAGCTTGCTTAAGTTTGCGGATACGTGCGAGTGTTGAACACATTTCACTGGCACTAGGAAAATCTTGGAAGATGTGTGAAGAAGGGTTGCTCTGTGCCGAAGATGGAGGCTGCGAAGCTCTTTGAAACGATTAGTGTCAAGCTTAACCCGCCCTGACTATTTCTGACCAAAAGGTAACTCCAGCCACGCTTCCTCGTCGGGGAACACAAAGCCCGGATAGGCCGCGAACGCAATCGTTCACATCTAAGCACACCGCGCTCTAGAAGGCCGTATATGAGAGTCTTTGCAAGCCCGCCACTAGGTACGTCCGTCCTTGTATGGACAATAAAGCTAACCCAATAAGTTGACGCATATCGCGGAGACTTTTCGGGGCCGATTTAATCGTCATGCTTATAGGTACATAGAATTACAACACTACCACTTGTAGTGTAGGAAACCATAGTGCATTACAGAGGCCACAAAGCGTGTTGCACCTAGCTGACTCAATGTCTCCAGCCGCACCGTAGATATCGTTAAAGTCGCTAACGCCGTGCTAGACAGTAAGATCGAGTATAGACGGGAGAATCACGAGGCCGCCTTTGAGTCCCTCCGTCAGACCATAAAGCAAGAGGGCAACCTGCAGTTCCCCCCTAGGGCTGGATGTGACCGGCGGGGCAAGCTTACGGAGCGTCGTCCCTTGAAGACGGGGATTGTAGAGCAAGCAGCCCACGCTTACGCGGAGGAACTGGGTCTCGAAGACAACCCTATGCGTGCCTACCAGTACCCGAAGAATGTGTGGGCACTAGGGGGTTCCTATCAATTTCTCTTGATCAGCAAGCGCCAAGTGACAAGACTTTACTACGTTTGTCGCTTGTTCCCACTGTCAAGGTAATTTACCTCTTCAGCTACACACTGATAGGCCCGACTGATTTACTAGATCACCAACCAGAATCCACTTTGTTCGCCGATGAGCCCGACAAAAAGGCCCACATATACAACTCAAAAGCCGAGCTTACAGCCAGACATTACTGTACCATATCGGACTAGAACAGCGATTAATCGGATAGGCGCAAACTTGAGTTTCAAGACTTCGTAATTATAAATTTCCCCCTAACGTACCTGGCTTTTCACCTAATCTGGCTTAAGAAGATGAATAAAAGGTTCTCTGATCATGTCATTGACTTCTAAGCGAAGGGGCTGAGGATAGATATGAGTGTTTCATAACCCCGATAAGCCCCGGTCGACTCTAACTAAACTACGTACTAGTGTAACAATAATTTAACAATTATTATTCGTAAAATATGCAAAATTACTGTTGAATTCGGATTTTGAATACCAGAAATAGATAGTTGCTCTCAGAATTACATAGTTTTGCTACCATTGACCACCTTTACCATCAGCCACACGAACTGAGAAGATACAAAAATTGATATTTTATTGTAGTGCTGGCTCTTCAGACGCTACTCAAACCGCTTGGGCTTATCGATTAGTGTACCTCCATACCTTGATGTTACGCCCGATATAGTTCCATCTCATGATATACATACTATCTAAGAACTTCCGGTTGCGCCGTACCCAGGCCCTTCATCATCCCCTAGCAAACCATCGGTCTCCCCAGCATGGACTGCCTGATCTCTAGCATCCCTCCGAGAACGCCAACAAACCGCGTACCAAAACAAAACCCATTGTCCCACCGCATAAACCGCATCATCGACAACCGGCCATCCAATTATATGATACCAATACATCCAATCCACAGGTCTTCTCATCGGCACCATAGGAACAGGTTGCTGTACCCTAAGTACCCATAGTCCAGAAACCAGAGCAAATACTACAGCCTGATACGCCAACCCTCTCAAACTCAAGACCGATGACTGCCCCCGTCTGTGGCGAAAGATCAGTCGGGACTGATCTATAAATCCCACGATGCGGAGCATGGCCGATAAAGGCAGGATGGTCATAACATGAGCGGAAAGAAAGAGTCCGATGATCCAGTTCCTCTCGCCCGTTGGCGGCCTTCGTTTTCTCGTTTCCTCGGGAGTGGTGATTGCGTCGACGATCTCGGGCAAGATAGATATGCATAGGTATGAAATGTATATTGTTATTAGGATGAGTTTGCGGCGTAAATTGGTGTGCAGGTTGTGGATTGCTTGACTGAAGAGGACTAAAAATCCCATCCAAACTGCCAAAAACTGGCACAAGTTCAACCAGTCTCCGGTCGTGGGAGGCTCATGGATGAGGACATTTCCGCCGCTGTTTACCAGCAATGCGAATAGGATGGTAAAGTGTTCTGTTGCGCCGATTAGGTTGAAGAGTATGTAGGCAGTGGAGATGCCGTGCGTGGATTTTTGAAGTTGGATGCACCGAATCTGCGGGTAGAAGGAGGACGTGGTCAGGATGATGAGGACTCTGGGTGAATTAGACTGATTACTCTAAGATCTTAGGTATACACAGGTATTTCGGGGGAAGGGGCGGTGATGGAGAAGGCTAAGGAGACTAGTGCACGTACATCCTTATCCAGTTAGGAAGTGTTGGTAGAGTCATTCTTTGATACAAGAATCAATGCCAGAAGGACCAAACTTGACACAGATAGAAAACAGAGAGAGGGTAACATGTGCGGAGATATTATTAAATGAACATACTCTGTAAATAGTACTATTAAAAGATTGCGGCCTATTGTGGAGAATCCATATAAGTACACATGGACTTATCTAATGGATAATCAGAATGATAGCTTATGCAGGTCCTAGCGCCTACGTCTCAGCTAAGAATTCAAGCCCCATTCCTTATCGTGCCAATAAGCTGCTTCCCTACTACTCAGCGTAGAAGCTGAACCCCCACATTACGCCGAACAAGCCTATTACATGACTCAATCACTTTATATATACCCCTCCCATAGAATTAAGGCCCCCAATATCACCATGAAGGACGGCAGAGTCTTATACTTTAGTACTATTCTGGCTCATCCTGGTACCACATTCAGGCTAGTGATTGGTTGCTCCCTATATTACACTAAATAAGCCTATTACATGACTCGATCACTGTATATATACCCCTATTATAGAATTAAGGCCTCCAATATCACCATGAAGGATGCTAGAGTCTTATGCTTTAGTACTATTCTGGCTGATCCTGGTACCATATTCATGCTTATGATTGGTTGCTTGTAGTACACTTATTTCGGAACGGCACATAGGATGAGGCATTCTGCACATGATAGATAACTGGAGGACTGTGGAAGTATTTAAGCGACTCGCAGTATGGAAGGGGAGTGGAAGGTGCCAGCAAAAGCAGCCCTGATAATGGCGCAACTACTCTTCTTTACGGTCTTGAATCTAATACTGTCTCTTCTATCATCTACTGCCACAGGAGCAGCTGTCCCAGTTACGCGATCCACGGTCAATTCGAGTAATATAGACTTTGATGCTGCTGAATGGCATCCGTCAATAGCAAAA